TGGAGTTGTTGGCTAAGCTTGCTGTATGGGGGGCTGGTAGCTGACCAAAGGCTAGCTGCTGGGAAGCATGCAGGGCAGTAACAACAGGGATAGGAGCTACCACTGAGGGGTGACTATTTTGAAGCTAGCCACAGTGCAATAAGCAACCCACAAACAGACCTCCAGATGGTACAAAACTAACAACTGCAGGTAGCTGAGCTAGGCTGCAGCAGAGGAAGACAGGCTGGCAATCAGGCCTAAAGAGAAACCCATGTGGGTAGCTGGAGAACCACCTGACAGAAAGGGGTAGGGCTTTGGAGGCACCTACATTCAGTACCTGAGGCCAGGTAGTCAGTCTGGCCCTGAGGGCTGCAGGAAGAGGAATCCTAAGGGAGATGGCTGCAGTAGAGGGACCAACAGTGCCATCCTGAACTCTGCAGGAAGAAGGGCTCCTGCCAGCTCAGTTTGTCAAGGAGTGGGAGCTGCAGGCCATGACAGAGAATCATAGACTCATAGAAAATTAGGGTTGGAAGGTAACCCAGGAGATCATCTAGTCTAACCTCCTGCTCAAAGCAGGACCATTTCCATCTCCATCAAACCAGCCAAGGCTTTATCTAGCCAGGTCTTAAAGACCTCCAATGATGGAGATTCCACAACCTCTCTAGGTAACCTGTTCCAATGCTTTACTACCTTCCTAGTGAGCAAGATATTAACTCTTAAAAACTAACTTGAGCTTCCCTTGCTGCAATTTGAGACCAGTGTTCCTTGTACTGTCATCTGCCACCACTGACAACAGTCTAACTCCATCCTCTTTGGAACCCCCCTTTAGGTAGTTGAAGGCTGTTATTAAATCCCCTCTGGCTTCTCTTCTCCAGACTTAAATAAGCCAAGTTTCCTCAGCCTTTCCTCCATAAGTTCTATTCCCTAGCCTTCTAACCCTCTAAGCATTTTTGTTGTCCCCACTGGGTTTTTTCCAGTTTGTTCACATCCTTTCTGTAATGGGGCGGGGGGCAAAACTGGACACAGTACTCCAGATGTGGCCTCACCAGTTTTGAATGGAGGGGAAGGATCACTTCCCTCAATCTGCTGGCATCATTCCTACTTATGCAACCCAATATGCCGTTAGCTTTTTCCGCAACTAGGGCACACTGTTGGCTCATATTCAGCTTATTGTTCAATGAAACCTCAGGTCCTTTTCTGCAGAGCTGCTGCTTAGTCAGTGGTTCCCCAGCCTGTACTGTTGCATGGGATTGTTCCATCCTAAATGCAGGAAGTCTTCCTGGACTCCTGCAGCCAGGCTCAATTTCCCCCTCTCTCCCAACCCAGGAGGTCCAACCTCCAATTTGTTGAGGTCTCTCTGAATCCTAGCCCTATGCTCCAGTGTATCTAGTACTCCCCACATCTTTGTGTCATCGGCAAACTTGCTGAGGGTGCACTCCATCCCATCTTCCAAGTCACTGGCAAAGATATTGAACAAAGATATTGAACACTGGCAAAGATATTGAACAAAACTGGCCTCAGGACCAACCCCTGTGGCACTCCACTTGATACTGGCTGCTGACTTGACATCAAGCCATTGATTACTATGGGACTTTGCACATGTCCTTATTGAAACTCATGAGATTTCTTTTGGTCCAATCCTCCAATTTGTTGAGGATTTCTGTTGTTGTTTAGAGCACTACAAGGAGACTTTGAGAGCCAGGAATACTTTTCTGATTTTTTGGTATTTGTTCATTATTGACATGCTTTGTTAGAGGACAGAAGGAGACAGTGTGGGTAAAAGGCACAAGGCATTAGGCTTGTGCGAATAGGGAAGTATTTGATTTGGATTTGCCTGATTTGGAGGACAGTGATTCGATTCAGAGATTCAGATCATTGTCCTGAATTGATTTGGATGAAATGGCTTTGGAAGATTTGGCGCTGATTTGGGGTGATTTGGCCATAGACTATAATGGGGAATCTCTGAAATACCTGTAAATTTGTTATTTATTGGCAGATTTGGAAGAAAACAGCAGGGATGTTAACACCTTCTGAGGGCATGAAGCTTGCTAAGTTTCAAGCAGATAGGTGCATAGGTTTCTGGGAAACAGCACCTCAAACTGCTGAAAGCAAACCTTGTGTCACTTATGTGTGTTAAGGCAGATTTCGATGAAAACAGCAGGGATGGTATCCTGTAACAGTGACAGTTAGATCTCCACCTGCCCACCCATTTTGGGGCCAGCTCCCCACTCCTCTTTTGCTGAGGCAAAAACAGCTCACAAAAGGGACAGAAAGGCTGCAGACAGAGGCTTATATGCTGTTTCTACTTCCCTCCCCCAGAGCACTGTGATTGGAAGGGGACTCGGGGAAAGATCACAGTCACTGGCCAGCTACAGATGTCAATCTTTGCCCCCTTGCTCCCCCTCCCTCTTCTTAGTTTCTGTTCCCCTGAAAGACTGCCTTCCAAATCTTCAAATCTTTTTCCAAATATTTGGAGGCTCTGAATCAATTCTGAGGGGGTTTTTTTGGTTTCCCGATTTCTTTGGAGAGAATTGGATTTGGTGATTCTGCCTCTGAATTGAGCCGAATCGTCTCTGAATCGAATCAGTGACCAAAGCTTCACAAGGCAGAAGGCATGTGCCATTTTTTCTTTCAAGAGAAATCTTTGTCACGAGACAGCAGCAGGAGTAGCTCTTGTGGTCCATTAGATAGTAGAGAGGAAGAATGACATAATGTTAGGGCAATGGGGTTCAAGAGTCCTGGATTTTATTACCTATACTGAAGATCACTTTTGAAAAACACTGGGTAGGTTTGGACATGTCACTTAAACTCTATGCCTCTGATCTGCAGGATAGAGAATACTACTTTCTTTCTTATGGGGTTGACGGCATAAATTCAATACTGCTGACACTTCCTTAGCCTGACGAAGGATTTTTGAACCCGAAAGCTTGCTTAATAAATATTCTCCAACTATTTGGGTTGGTGTAATAAAAGTTATCAAATTCACCCAAGGAACCTTGTCTGCCATAAAGCTAGTGAAGCACTTAGTATGGCAATGGAGGCCATGGAAGGGCCTAACCTAGATTATCAGCTACGGGGTAAAATCTACTCTCAATTATATGTATGTACATCAGAAGTAGCTTATTTGACTTGAATGAGATTGCTGTGTGTTTGCAGTAGAATAAAATGACAGGTCATCCAGTGGCATTCATGACATACTACTGTCATATTCTCTAGCATATCATGTGCCCCCAAATAAGGCATACCCCTTGTTTTCGGAATGTGGAAGGGAAAAAAATATTTCCTTGAAAATATAAGCAAGTATGGTATTTTTGCAGAGAAAACACAGGCAGATTCAATATGTGGAAGAAAAAAAACTGTGGCTGCTCTGTTAACTCTGTGTCTCTAGGATATGGTGCCCACCCAGCTTAAGAAGTGAGGCTGGGCAGTTCAGCTCCAGCAGGATTGAGCTGACAGCTGATACCAATGGCTGAGCTGACCTGACTGGTTTTGCTTCTCAAGCTGGGTCAGCCCTCAGCTGACTTAGTAGGTATCACTGGCTGCCCACCTGCCTGAAAGAGGTATCAGGCAGTTTGGCTGTCACAGGCTCAGACCCCCTGCTCCTTGTATGTCCTCATTTTAGTCGTGCGCTCCTGATTTCCAAAAACTAATTTTTGAGGAAAGGTGCATGTTGTCTGTAAGTAAATATGGTAATATAGGGCTCATATTTGAGCATAAATTTTCTTAATCAACTAATAACACAATCCAAAATGAATAACCCAATGTTCTGCATTTTCTGTGTATGTATACTATACCATAATAACAGAACTACCCTATAGCTAGGGGTACCCCATACCCTGAAAGCTAGAGAGGGTCTTAAACAAGTCTTTCACAAACTAAAAATTACTTCTGGGAGTGGATGGCAAAGCAGCTGAGTTATACAGATCACCTCACATATTACTTTACTCTGCTGTATAACAGAAGTAGCTTATTTGACTTGAATGAGATTGCTATGGGTTTGCAGTAGAATAAAATGACAGGTCATCCAGTGGCATTCATGATACCATATTTTCTAGCATACCATGTGCTGCCAAATAAGGCATAACCCTTGTTTTTGGAATGTAGAAGAAAAAAAAGTCCTTGAAAAGTTTCCTTGAAAATACAAGCAAGTATGGTATTTTTGCAGGGAAAACACTTCAGTGTATTTGATAAAGGCCTTCAAAACATCTGTGAAGTGTGGAATGTTAAGCCTTTTCCATTTGCAAAAGTTGCACCGCCATATCTTTTTAAAATTGTACTTGCAATGCTCTAATTGTTAATGACTACATCCATAATTAAATTGGTATAGAATCTGCATATGTACAAACTATTACAGGCTAGTGTAATGATCCTGTTACGGGTGAGTTTCTGGTCAGAATCCAAATGAGTTGATAAGTTGCATTTAGTGTGCACTAAAAGTATTCAGTTATATACTTTACAGGCTGGTAGGGGTTTTAAAATACTAATTGATGTTTATGCATGCATGTAATATGGTTTCCAAATATGGGTGAGTATTACTTTATGGTTATTCTGTATTGACATTAATGAACTGCACAAAATTTAATATGCCACTTTCATGTCTCACTCGCATTGGTTTTACATGCATGCTACCCAGTCACGTTCACTGTTGCTACTTCTGATTTGTCTATGAAAGTGAGTAAAGAATCATTCTCAAATTGGGCAGAAAGGACTTGAAAGACTAAGATTCAAGTCCCCTTTCCTGAATGACTTTGGGTAAATTAGTGGACAGATGAAAAACGAATATAGTACTTTAAGATGAGGGAATTTACCACTTCTGAGAATGCGTTAGCTGATTCATTGCAATTTTCGTATGTCTCCACTCATCTCAGAATAAGTGAAGCTAAACTGGGGCAGCTTACTTCACAGTTAAATAGTTGCTAAAGTTTCAGTATTGTTGCATATAGCAAATACACTCAACCAGTTATAAGAAAATAACTTGAAATTTTTTTCAGTTGGTATAATTGTTTTGCCTATTTCCCTAGCCCGAGTGCCTGCCATTCTCCATCTGCAGTATTGGGAATAATAGCACGTGCACTTCAGAAGGCATATGATGAAGTTCAAAGATACCACAGCAAAGAAGGCCATACATGGAAGCATCCAAAATCAATAAAGTGAAGTGGTGGCAGGGAGACATGGTAAAAATGGATCTCATTTCTTGCAGAAGAGACCCCTGTTCCCTGAGCACACGTATATAAAATTATGGTACCTACTGACTGACTTCTGTTCTTTCCTGTTTTGTAAGCTATGATATCAAGCAAACTGGGTGGTGACTGGCATGTTTAAAGGCCTGCATCAAGCCCATTAAACATGGCACAGGTGGTGGTGGGGGCAGAGTTGCAGGGCATGGACCCTTGGCTGTGGTGCCCCCTGCAGCCACAGGTTCCACAGGATAGGACGGGCCAGCCCTGGTGGTGAGAGCTACACCAGTAGCTCAGTAGTATTGCTAACTGACTGGTTGAGAGACCATCAGTACCAATGGTGCAATTTCTTCCTGTCAAAGAAAGGGATTCTGTAGTGGGACAAATGATTTATTTCTGCTATAGAATGTTTATTTGCACTTTGGAGAAAATAACAAGATTTATTTGCAGAGTTGGAGTCCCTCAGGTATAATATAAATATAATTACAAGAACATATAAATATATTTATACTATGCCAGTGGGCCTTTGGCATCACAAATCTTATTTCCCAGACTGTGAAAATAAATGTTTTAGAACAGAAATAAATCATTTATTTCCACTGTTAATTCAGGAGTAGAAAATATGTAGGCTATTGGCCCAAAAGACAATCGATTCATGCTGATTGACATCCCAATGAAACAATAATGTAACCCTTCCTGACATGATTTATTTGGGGTGTTTTATTTCTACTCATGATACAGTGATGAGGTGTTGGGTGATCTAAAAAAAGCACTTTGCTGCATGAAACAGGATTTAGGTGGGCTTTTAGGTGTCTAACTGAGTTTAGGATTGTGATACAAAAAAATCCCACTGGTCATCAACCGCCTAAATCTGGAGGTATCTAAAGGTATCAGCTGCTTCTCTTTTAAACTGCAAGTTCCCTCAGGCACCAGCAGTTATCTTTTTACATATGCTCAGAACTGCCTGGCCTTGAGCAGCTAGGTGTCTAGCTCCTGTGTAACCCCAAACAGGAGGCAAAATATCACCTTAGTGCCCCCAGGAGCAAAATACAGTAGATGTGCTCTGAGCAAATGCCACCAATATCAATCCCTTTACATAAGTGAGTTGCAGTAGTTTTATTTTTAACAGGTGGCTGCTAGAGGTGAACTAGGGGCACAGAAGGAAGTTACATTTGTCATGCAATAGGTCTTCTGAAAGTGCTCTGCAGCCATGTCATGACAGACATGCATGACTGCAAAGTGCTTTAAAAGTGGTCAGTTGCATGGAAAATTAACCCTCATGCCCTCCCTCCCCTACCCCCCCCCGATCAGGCCAGGCAAACCCCAGCTCTCAGCTCATACCCCTTCCCACCTCCCTTCCTGCAGACAGCAGCACTGAAGCTGGGAGGGATGTGGGGCTGGGGTAGAGGGGCAGCTACTCTGCTGCAGGCAGGTTCCCTGGGCTCCTGCAGTCAGGCTCAATTTCCCCTCTCCTCCCCACTCCTCTTCATTCACCTGTTAGGTCATGTTCATCTATTGGGGAGGTGGGGAGGGTGGCACTCTAACTCATGATGCTTTGGGTATCTGATAGCACCCTAAGAGGTATGACAGCTGCCTAACAGCTAGGGGAGAGGGAGTCTTGGCTTCCAGTCTCTTTGTAGCAGGGGGCATGGGCCTCTACTTGGGGTATCTTGAGCATACATTAATAACCTTTTACAGAAGTAGGACATTGTTCCCCTGCTTACCTGTGGCAGGTTAGGGTGTTATATCTTGTGTTGTGTCAGGGTTGACTGTAGTTTTACTAACAGGTTAGTTTATGGATTTGTATGGGATGGTTTGGGCAGGGATGTTGCTGCTTCAGCAAGGACGTGAAACTAGGAGGTGACAACATCACACCTCCAGCTATATCAAATGTTACTGCCAACCAAGTTGCACAATAAATGCTCAATAATGGGAACCACTCATCTAGAAGACACACTGGAGAACACCACTGCTGTGTTATACCATCTGAGAAGCAACCACCTAAAGACCTAACTTGTCCACTTACTATGAAGGAACTCACTGTTGGCATAAGCCTACTGAAATGTGGGAAGGCAGCAATGTACTTGCTGAGATGATACAACACCTTCAACAGCCATGCAAGGCAATGGCTCACTGATCTATTCAATGCATGCATGATAAGTAAAACAAATACCATCAGTGTAGAGGAAGACAAGAGTCATAGCTCTGCTCAAACCAGGGAAAGACCTTTCATCACCAACATGTTATAGACCAATCTCCCTCCTCAGCAGGGCTGGCTCACCCGAACCTGCAGCCGCAAGGGACTCTACAGCCAAGGGGCCTGCTGCAGGCATGAGCGCTCCAAATCAGTGCCATAGCAAGGTGGGTGTGCGGTTTTCACCAGTCTGTATTGTTGCTGCCTCCGCCGGCTTCACACCCAGCCACCCACCACCCCTCCCTCTTACCACCACCAATGCCACTGCCGGCTTCTTTGGCCACTCATGACCACACCCAGCTTCTTTGCGTCAGGGAGCCCCAAAACTATATTTTGCAGTGGGACTCAAAAAATTATGGGTTGACCCTGCTTCTCAGTATCACCTACAAACATCTATGAACATCTTGTCCTGCAACAAATTTTACCTTTGGTAGATTCCAAATTTACATGAGACCAAGCAGGTTTTAGACCAGCTGGATCCTGTGCAGGCCAACTACTAAACCTCGCACAGAATATTGAAGGTGGTTTCCAACAGAAGTTTGATCACCAGCACAGTGTTTTGTTGACCTACCTTCTACATATGATACCATCCAATGCTGCATTGCGATCCACAAACTGTACCTTATGACTGATGACTTGGATCTAAGCCAGAGCATCCATAGCTTCTTGGAGAAGAGGCACTTCCATGTGGAACTAAATGGCCGGAGAAGTAGATGGCACTCCCAAAAGAATGGTTTACAAGGTAGTGTGCTTGATCCACTCTTATTCAACATCTACATTAACTACCAGGCACTTCTTAATGAATGTCAATGTTTTATCTATGCTGATATCTCTGCATTACCACACAGCAGAAGAATTTTGAGAACACAGAAAAGATCCTAGAGAGGGGACTGAATGAGATGTCAGATTATTACCTAAATAATTATGTTAGAACCAACCCTAGCAAAACCCAAATCTTTGCTTTCCATCTGAGGAACCAGGATGCAGAACAACACCTGAATGTCACTTGCAGTGACCAATCTTGAACATCAGAAAACACCCAGTCTACTTTGGGGCAACAGCAGACTGTACACTTACAAAAAGCACATATTAAATACCAAAGCCAAGGTCAACACACAAGAGAACCTTTTGAGTAAGCTGGTAAAGTCCAAGTGGGGAGCATATCCATCCACCCTACATACTGCCTTAGCACTTTGCTTCTCTGTGTCTGAATATGCCTACACCACATGGGAATGCTCAAGTCATACTAAACATATTAACACTGTCCTAAATGATGCATGCAAAATTATAACAGGCTGCCTAAAACTCACCCCAGTTCCCTGCCTATACATACTATCTGGCATACTGCCCTCTTGCATCAGGCAGAAAGTGGCAGGTGACATTGGCAGGTACATGAGTCAGATGACCACCACCTGCTATATGGACGTCAATCAGTGCACTGTAATCTTTCATCAAGAAATAGCTTCCTATCCTCTGCCATACCATTGACTACATCACCAGAATAAGCCAGAACTACCCTCTGGCAAAAAGACTGGGAGAAACTAAGCAACAAAGCTGTTGAATGGAGCCAGCAAGGAATTACCCCAGTGAGGAGTTAGCATCTGGCTCCAACTACAAATGGTATATGTGGCAGCACCTGAACAGATTGAGAGTGGGTCTTGGAAGATGCAACTTTCTCATGAAATCATGGAGCCTTGATGCAACCGACCAAAGTGTTTGTCAAGTGAAGCAAACCATGGATCATCTCCTGAGATGCCCTGTAGCACCACAATGCACCCCACAAGAACTGGCAACAGCAACACCAGAAGTAGTGGCCTGTGCAGAATATTGGGAATAGACCATATAGAAAGATTGGATTGGAGAGACAATGAAGACCATTAGGCTAAGAAGTTCTTCTCTTTACTTGATCTCTATATGGTCTCAGGAATTCTGCATTTCTTTCTGCACAGTGGCACAGCTTCAATAGGTTGGCTGGTAATGCTCCTCATAGCCTCTAGTCAGCTGGTTAGGACACTCATATGAGGTGAGAGATGGAGATTTGTGTCACCTCATGTTACAGAAGGAATTAAAACCTTGTCTCATGCTTCTTCGTCAAACATTCTAAGCACTCGGCTATCATATATGAAAGCGGGGTATGGGTGTTGCTCCTATCTTTCATTGACAGTATTTTGAAAAGAAAACAGTAATCCCTGCTTAAATTCTTAGAAAGCGCAGTTTTAGGTGCCTGTCCTTAAGAGAGGATTTCATAAGTAGATAGAGGTGCCTCTTCTTGCCCCTGACTCAGATGCCTAAATACAGGAAAACAGGTTGAGTTTTGGATGCATCCTTGTGCTCCATGTTTCTTACTCAATGGTACTGAGTGGCTCCTTGCTTAGGATGCACATGTTTCTTAACTGTTGTCTTGAGCAGCCTAAGTCTCCCTATACAGTGTGTAGACAGCAGTTGTCTACCTCTGGGTTCCAGATTCCCTGAGGAGTCCCAGGTGCCTAGTTGATGTGTCCCTGAGTCTTTTGGATCCGGCTTTGTGATTGCTCTGCGTGTAGCATCCTTTTTTGTTCAATTCATCCAAGTTTTTAAGCCATGGGTGCATATCCAGGCTTTGTGAAAAGGCTGCTTCCAGGGTTGTGAAAGCTAGAATGTCTGTGTTCAAGAGCTCCATCAAAAGGATGGCCTCTTCTCTTGCCAGCCATTGAAATAAATGTGAGTGTCTCATTTCTGCCTTGTGTCGTATGAACATTGAAAGAGTTCCCTGAGACTGAAGACTGAAAATAATGGTGATCGCCACTTGAGCATTTTAGAAAGTTTTCATCAACAAATACTGAGACCAAGATTTAATTTCCCTCTCTTTTTGTATTTTGACATACATGATTGTGAAACACACGTGCTGACTGGCAAGGAGGTAGAAGTTCCAGCATCATTGCAAATCATTTATGTAGTCTGCTAGAGTGAGAGTTTGTCTAGTTAGTTCCTGTGCAATAAGAGCTAATGTAAACACATGTAGTGTCAAAACTGAATACTACTTTTAGACATGCAGGTGTTATCCTGTGACTACTTTACTGGATTGGGATTCAGGGTTCTACTTTCAGATTGACTACTGATCTTGTTCAAGTAAATTAATCTTTCTCCATAGCCGATTTGCTACTATCCTATGTTAGTTTGTGTAATTTGACTGTAAACCAGCAGAGATTTTTCCTTAATCTATATTTTATACAGAATATGGTGTGATGGGACCCTTATCCTGCTTGGGGGCCCTAGGCCAAACAATAGAGATTTTAAAGTTCAAACAGTCTGTTGTGATCATCTAGTTTGACTTCCTCCATAACTCAGGATTACATTCATGAAAACTCAATGGCTAGCATCAAGTCCAATAGCTGTTACTGAATTGGAGCCTGTATATTTTAGGGGGGGAAAAAAAATTTTGATTTGAGATAGGGAATTTACCCCAACTGTGGGCACCTTGTTGCAGTGGTTCATTACCCTGGCTGTTTTAAAAGCTGTGCCTTATTTCTAGTTTTGTCTAACATTAACTTCCAGCCACTGGATCTTGTTTTATATTTTCCTGCTATTTTAAAGAGATCTCTGCTGTCAGATTTCTATTTTCTAATGTTAGCTTTGTAGACTCAATCAAATCATATTCTCTTAAATAAGCTAAATAGATTGAATGTATGAAATCTATCAGTTAGCTAGCTGTTAATCCATTTAGCATGGGCTATGCTGAATCAGTATCATATTAGTTTTATAATCAAAATGCCCTGATCTACCAATGCAAATGTTTCAGAGAAGTTTAAATATGTTATATCATCATTATTACCTTAAGCAACCAAAATAATAATAATACTAGATGTGGAACCTTAGAAATGCTTAGATTGCTTTTCCCACGTTATTAGAGCGCATGTGCAGGCCACTGAAAAAGAACAGGTGTACACTGTGGACTGCCAGGGCTCAGAATAGACCGTGTGTGTTTTCCAGTGGTTTGTATAAACTTTATAAAGTGTGATACAAAAAGGAAAGGACAGAAGAAAAAGACACTCTTACCCACTCTATCTTTACTCTATTTTGCCCTGCATAGGTCTAGATATGATCTAGGATGAAAAAGCTAACCTATTAATGCCTTGTATATGGAAGTGGCAGCAGAACTTCTTCTCATGAAATTCCGAATACCTCCTGACTCAACTGGGCCTGGGTATCCACACCGCAGAGCAGCAGAACACTATTTGTAAGTCCCTGAATCATTTGGGTATTTATGTGAAGCAAACAATATCCTGAAGGTCACCAGTAAGCAGCAGTACTAACCACTTCTTCCTGAAGGTTTCCTGATGTTCAAAGACATTGATATGGAACTTATAATTATAACTTTTCAATATTTGATCTTGTGGAGCAAGATCTTTTCTTTATTTGATAATAGGCTGGCTAATTTTTGTTTGCTAATATTTGCTTGCATTCTTTTTTCTTTTAATTTCTTTGTGCTGTATTTACCTAGATTTAATGGGGGCTGGAAATGGAAAAACGAATGTGACACAGCATTACATGTTTAGAGTTTTGTTTTTGTTTTTTTTTTTTAACACTTCATATCAAATAATCTAGAAATAAAAATAATGTATATGCCTTCTAAACAGCAAGGTTGGAACTTTCAAAAACACTCAGCAGTGGTTTAATTTGGCTCCTTTGACTTTCACACTTGACTTCTGTGGGAGCAGAATTAAAACAATGAAAGTGCTACCTGTACAAGCTAGGAAATATTAAAGCCTAATCTGCAGTGTTTATGAAAAGAATGGACTTGGTGCTTTACTGTGGTGTGATTGTTTCGACTGTCCAAGTGGTGACTGCTGTCAGAGACCTCCCCTCTGGCCAGCATAGCATCTTTTCCAACTGAAAAACCTGAATCCAGCTTGGTGTGCAAAAATATGTAGAAGTTTAAGTGGCAATCTGCTGTGAGTTACCGCAAAAAGCTAAGGATAGCTTTTGCATGGTCTTTCCTAAGTGTACACAAAATTTTAGCTTCAGGGGGTGCTTTGCTTTATTATGAACTGCAGGATTTGCCTCTTTTTTTATTCATTAGGAAAAACTGAGTCATCTAGAATTTTGCTCTCAAATGTAGGAGACTTATTAGAGATGGGCAAGCAATTTGGAATAAAGTAAGAGCCTTGTCTTAAACAATAGGGATGGTGAAAATATGGAGGGCCTGGGAATTTTTGTTTTCTTTTATGGAATTACAGAATGTGGGTTGGGAAGTGAGGTGGGGGAAGTTCTCCTTGGGCATGGCACCGGAATAATGGGGTATTTACTTTGCATTTTTTTATATGGTTTTGTTGTAGTTCCTTAATTTAAGATGTTACTCCATATAATGGTAAGGAATGGCTAGTTCAGAGATGATCATTATAACATTAAATGCAATTAATCAAGAACAACAAGATATCTTTTTTTGTAGATGTGTGTGACTTGATTGTAGTCTTGCTTTTGGTCTGTTTCCTAGACATCTGATGTTTACATATTTTTAAATATCAAACTGCAGCATTAATAAGGTATGTGTCATGCCTGTGTGTGAGAGAAATGCCTGCATCCTCAATAGCATGTAATTTTTTACTTATACATTATAAAATTTTATGAACCAGAGCTGTAATACAACATTGCAATGCACAGCCCATTGGTACTGCTGTAATCATTCAATTGAGATACCTGTATGGGCATGATTCAATAGGTAATGGACTGTGTCAGTTCAGCTTGACTGTTGGGATTTTATTGCTGCACCCACCCCTGTGACAGCTGCTTATTAGTGTGCCATGCTTTGGGAAATGCTGATAGAGAAATGAGCTCTCCAATATTTTTCTCATTATACCCTGTGGATAAGTATTTTGGCTGGTGGGAAAGAGGTAACCCATCCATCCCTTTTACCCTTCTACACACCCATCAAAGTTTCATTCTAGGATTTATACAGATCCTGTTTGCCAGACCAAATATGTTAAAAAGCCCATCATCTCACTTTGATTAATGCTAATGGGATTTGCAAGAGTAAAGCCCCATGCACCAAGTTGAGTCTATGCCAAAGTGATTTTTTTCTTTGCTCAATTGCTTTATATATTATCTTTCATCAAGAAGTAACAGACTTCTTTCTGTGAAGCTTAGGGAGCCAACATGTGCTGGGGTGGCAAGACAAGTTATGCAAATTACATTCCTTTGTTTTCATATGCATATTAACATATTTTGTGGTTTCGGAAAACAGTAATGGATGCAGAGTCTGTCACCTCTAGGGCATCAGTTTAAATTAGACCACGCTGACAGGGATTTTCTGTTTGTTTTTTTACTATGTGATGCTTGTTCACTAGTCAATGAAGAATGAACGGGCACTCCCAGTCCACTGTGTATTGCAGTGTGGTCCACATCATTTAAATAAACATAACATCTCGCTTTGGTTCCCTCATACGCATTACTGAAGATAAAGACTTTAAGGCTTGAACCGAAATCTCCTGACAGTCCTTGACATCAGTGCCCTTTGGATAAAGCCCAGGCTGCACATGAGGAACAGAACTTTCCTTTACAACGGTGGGTAAATTCATCTTTTGTGTTGGGGGATACAACTCTGCTGAAGCTGATTTACTTGCTCCCGTTTATACCAGGGCTAAATTTAGTTTGCTTTCTTCAAAATGAGTGAGGTAGGTTGTGCAAAAGCTTGCCCACCTCTTGTTGAAGCTGTGCTTTTCTGAGAATAAATGCAAATCTATATCTGTCTTCACATTTCTCTTCATGCTTTTTAAAACAAATTATTTACGTGTTTGTGGAAAACAGTAATTTGTTTAAAACTTCCATTTGCTTATCAAAGCACGTACACAAGTTGTTGTTATAATTTAGCTAGGGATATCTAAATTTAGCACAAATTATTAAGAAATGTTAGAAGTTCCTAGCTATGAAAGGTAATCTTAAAAGATCTTTGTATACAAAGAGAACAGGTACATACTGGAAAGTTTCTAAAACCTTGTTTTCATTACAAAGACTGCTTGTCCATGTCATGCAGGATGCACTGCAGTTATCATACAGGGCAGATTAGGCAGTCATCTTAATACAATGAGAACAAGATGAATATCAGATCCTGCAGATTCATACTCCATTAAGTGAAATATTTGCTGTACTTATTAAGCAGGATGTAAATCAATATAGCCCCAGAGCAGAGGATGTGAGAAATTTCTGTAATGCACCAGCATCCTTAGTGGTATTAGAAAGTGAGACGATGGAAGTTTATGCTAATCCTAGCACCCATCCACAATTATTTGGTATTGCAGAGAAAGAACTCAGGGGACCAGAAAGGCTTAAGGTCTGATTCTTACTGCCTTTTACCAGGTGCAGCCATTGAAGTCCAGGCAAAATGGTGTCAAGACGTAGCCTTCTGATTTGGTAGTGTTTGACTTCACTTCATACAGATGGTATACTTACTGCAACAAAGAAAAGGCAGGAGGGAACAGAACCCTCACGTACGGAAGTACAATAGTGTGTGCATCTACATGTGCTATTAGCATAGAGCAATAAACTCCAGTGCAGTTAGCACTGGACTTTATTGCTCCTGGGTGCTGTGTTTGCACATGCACCTGGGACCACGGCATGTTGAGCTGCATAAGTGCAGCCGTAGCTGGCAGGGGAACCAGCAGGTCAACCCGAGGCTGTTCTGATGCGACTCAGTTTGCTGCAGAGGTGCTGGCTGGGGCACGAGGGTGCTCCAGTGCGAGGCTAGCCAGTAGGCGGCTCTCATTGGCTGCCTATACATGTGCTTATTTGCATTCTAATTAGAACGCTGCAGTATGGCCTCACCATGATGTGTATTAAATCCCCGCATGTTCTAAAATAGCCATGTGAATGCTTTATTTAAACCTGATTGAATGAGCTTTAGGTCCCATGGCTATTTTTAAACACGTGGGGATTTAATACACATGAGGGTGAACCATTTTAATTGGAGCAGCTGTCTGGGAACAGCTTGAATTAAAACACCCCCTCCCCCCACTCTCAAGCACAGCAGCTATTGCTGCTAAAAACAGCAGTATATGGGCATTTCAGTCTACTCTTGTACAAGTGTTTCCAGCACCCACATTCACTATTTACAGCTGTTGGATTTGCATACACCTGCTTCCCCCATTCCATTAGCTCCTCCTAATAAGACTAGGAATGATAGTTCATTATTAACTCCTGTCTGGACAAGGTAGGTTTTCCAGAATAAATGCATTTTGTGTTGGAACATTCCTGACAAGGCCATGTCTGCTTAAACATTTGAAGGAGGGAGTTCATTATGTACTCCTACAGCATTTTCATCTTGCAGCCTGCGTGTCCCAGACGAGGCGCTCTTTCATCGTAAAGATGTGTTCACCCTTCCACACGATCAGTCTTAATATACCACGCATTCAGCGAACTACTTCCAACATTTAAGGCATCCACGGGCAATTTCCTCCTCTTTGAGGTTGCTAGAGATCCTGTATTGGAGATTTATGTGCAGTTCTCACGTGGTGAAGCTGACCTCTCAAACCATCTATCACACTGTGAGGTTGACCTCCCAAGCCAGCCATCCTCTGGCAGTATAGCTGCAAACATTTACTGGAAGAAATGAAAAGTGATGCAGAGGGGAAAAAAAAAAAAAGAAAGAAATGGTCTCTTTGTTGTTGTTGCTGTACTGTTCATATGTAGCAAATAAAGAACTTCCCCCATATGAATGAATATTCAACAAACTTTGTATTTGATGAAGTGAAAACTGTGTAGCAAAATCATAGAAAACATTTGCTGCCTTTAGCATTTTAGCAGGCTTTATCACAGTACAGTTTTCTTTTTTTCTGAAATCCTAATGCCATGGTTGTGTAGGATTGCTTCTTTTTGCAAGTACATACAGGTGGACAGGAGGCAGCAGATATCCAACATATTCCCACCAAGCTTATACCCACATAATGGCTGTTAGTAATTCTATATCATTTCAGGAACTATGGCAAAATCAGAAGTACTAGCCCAGGGAGCTGTTGCTCTCTGGACCTTGCTTCACTTGGAAATACCATGAGGAGTTTTCAACAGAGATTTGCACAGAAGTTCAGTGCTACTGAGAGCTGTATTAACGTCTAATTTGGGCAGACGTAAAGCCCCTAGCTATGCCTCTGCTCCCTAGCCCTCTAGTGGCAGGTCTGAGCAGTGCATATTGGAGAGCATGACTGAATGATCACTAACACTAGTTAACCTCAACATAGACTAATATTCCTTAGAATTAGCGTTTGCTAATTTTCTAATTCTAATTTGTAATCTCACCCTGAGCCACTTGTGC